ATTCGGACTAGGTGCGTTCTACATAGTTGCCCTGACAACAAGACCAAGTTGCGACGAGGTCAACCCACTTCTTTAAATCGAAAGGAGACTGCGATCATAACAGAAGCCACAACAATTTGGTCTTCATATATTCAATATGAGTATGCTTCACAATTTTTCGTTTATTTTCTAAAAGGTATTCTTATCCAAGATGGGCTGTAGTTTCAAATTCGCCTGGGTCTCATCAGCACCTCAAACGGAGTATGAAGCAGGCTCGTGGCGTAGTGGTATCACTTTGCCATTTCCTAGCATAGCCACTTCGTAGACAAGCGTCTACCAAATCACATTTCATAATGGGAGTATCACTGAAGCAAACATGGTGGAAACTGCAGTCCACTCATGCCTGGATGAGAATACCTCGTGGGAAAGCAAGGCCATGTGAAATTCAACGGAAGCACAAGGTCCATTCCTATCGTTGTGGCAAAATTCAACTATCAGTTCCCTTATCACCGTAAACCAAATAGGGTGAATACAACTCATATAGGCAAACATGTATTTCGAAACTGCAATCGACGACAGTTTATCAGTAATTCTTGAATAGCAGCCTAGTCATCGTAGTCACTTAAGGGAGAATAGTTGAGCTTTTCCCACAATGAGATAAGTAGGCCGTGTGGTGGAGTGGTAAATGTCTCCACGATACCAACGACCAGATATCAAATCGCGCCGGGGATACTGTCTACCCTGGATGAGTTAAGCTTTTGCGAGTCAAGGCTAAGTGAAATATAATGGCGGAAATAATGGGAAAAATTTATTCATCAGTCTTTAATTCTCCTTAAGCGGCCTGAGCCAACTAAGTTCGTCGGCATCACAACAGAAGACACTACTTATTTCGGATGTAAGTAGGCGTCGAAACTACCGCATTAATATAAATAATGGGCCATGGACTTGATCGGTGCGTCGCTTGTTCACATACGGAGTCGTCAAAGTACAAAACAGCATAACTTTCTTTGCAGACCTTATAGCAGGCCAGGTCGCAAGAGTGAGGAGAAGTTTTGCCCTCATTTGGCAATTTAGCTGCAAGTAACTCTTGCCGCCCATAATGGGCCTCCTTTCTTAGCAATTATCCCAATATTCTATCCTCAATCGTATATGTCTGTGCCTAAATTCACACACTAGTCGTCCTGGTGTGCGTGCCCATTGATGCATGCATGTGTATGCGATGTCGTCATGGGATGCGGACGTTGGCCGATGAGGTGCAGCACCAGCCAGGCCTACCACTGCTTTATCATTGGACGCAAGTGCGCGATGAGTGCCAGACGAAGCAACATGTTCGAAGCCAAACGATGACATGCTCAAGTG